TGAGTTTTTCCAACATACTGTTTTCATTCTAACTTGAGAAAGCATAGCCAATTGTGATATTGTTAAGTCTTCCACCACCTAAATGGAATTGGAACTAAAACACTCTGGGTGCTAAAACAAGGCAAAGACTAACTTCCCTGTGAGGAGTGGATCACTTGCTGGCCCCATCCATCCTATTCTAGCACCTACAAAACTCAAGTCAGGAGTGTGATGACAAACCAGTAACTCGATGTGCGCAGCTGCAGCAATGTTCAAGAAACTCACTGCAATTTGTCAAATTGCAGTTCATTTGATAAACAGCCATGATTGTTGGAGAAGCAGTGCTTGGTGAAGTGGTATTTGGATTCCAACTTGAAGTAAATATTCAATCTTGTGGGTAAAAAGGCAATTTCTTCGTATTTAAATAACTATTTTCTGGAGAATGTCTTAAACAGACAGATATGCAAGACTGGTACTGGTATCAAAGGCAGACTTGGAAGCTGTAACAGCTTATCTGGTTTGGTGAGTAATTTTTCTGTACATGTAAATAGATATGGCAGTCTCTTGAAACTGCGCTGTGAAGCCTTTTACCTCCTGAGACCAGACAGACAATCTTTGGTATTTTGAGAGTAAATGACCCAATGTCAACGAGTAGTAAATTGGTTTCAAGGAACAGGCATTACATAATGGTCTTTTAGCTGATCTTAAAATGCCAGATACATTTGGGTGGGGTTAGAACACAACATTTGAAATGAGGTCACCTCGGCCATTACATCACTGCATGTGTTGTTTGTATTATTCCCATAATAAAATCTATACTTACAACTTAATTCCTGTTGTATTAATCAACAGTCATCAGGTTCAATAGCCACACCCTCTATCACAAACATACACTGCCTACAGTTTGTACAATTACAAAATGCACACAACAAATGTTTATCACAAGTGTCTTCCTCCCACAACCTGTACTAGTGAGTAGAACAAGAGCAAATCTTATCACCTTCAAGCTATCCTCCAAGCTATGTACCACACATTGAACTCGACCCCATATACATTCCACTATGGAAGAAACCCGGAAGTGAGGCAATCCATCGCAACGGACCCCAGAGTTTAAAAACCAGGCGGGAAAACACACCGATGCTTCATCAGAGGCTGCACTGAGGATGTTACCAAGCATGGTAACGAAACGTCTGCGGAACAACAAACCAGCTCGGCGAGCCAACCAACCTCAACACCCACAACCCGAGCTACAGATCTACTTCAAAGCCTTAGATCTTGATGACTGTTGGAAAAACCTATCTGGTTCACTACGTCCTTTAGGGAAGGAAACTGCCATCCTTACTTCATCTGGCCTATATGTGACTCCAGACCCACAGTAATGTGGTTCACTCTCAACAGTTCTCTGGGCAATTAGGAATGGGCAATAAATGCTGGCCTAGCCAGCAATGCCCACATCCTGCAAACGAATTTTTAAAAAAATTTAAAGTTGTTTGACGTGTTCCAAAGTAAGTTTCAAAGAGACCCAAAGTTTGACCATATTGATGCTGACAGCAACACTATGTCAGCCCATCTAGTTGTGAGCTCCAATTTCAATTAATGCCCCAAAGGTAGGTTTCTCCAAAAGGAAGAGGATGATTAGAGGAAGGGATCTTACAATGATGAACATCTGGAACAAATAAAATTCTGTTGATCATTACCAAAATTACATTTCCACAGGATCACATTGGGTTGTATGTTATTATGAGACATCAGCAGATTAAAGAAATTCTTTGTGGATTATCCATTATTTAGAAAACCATAATTCTTGGAATTAAAAAAAACCCACTGATCATAGATTAAAGTTATTAATTGACTGTCATTTATATTTTTAAAAAAGTCCACTTAAACAATCTATTTATTTGCAGCTTTGAAAAAGTTTTCAGAAACCAGCAGCTATCTCACTTTCATCTACACAATGCAGACTCATGTTTTACCATAATACTGACAGCTGGAACAATGGCAAGGAAATGCAAGCAGACAACTAATTAGCTTTCCCACTTGCAGTGGGCAAACGACTTAAATAGTATTTTGTAAATTCAGATTGATGGAGTGTGAGGATCGCAACTGGACTTCAGTCTTTTTTTCATAGACCAACAAAACAACGATGAAGATCAAAGGGAACAATAAACCTTCTATCCTTCACCCCTAAGGCTGAACAGTGACCCACCATGATCATTTTTAGCATCACGGATTTACACATTTTTCACCTAAAGCACACCTTCTTGTTGTCAAAAAAAACCTTCAAGTGTATCATGTTTTTTTAATGCATGGTGTAACACGATCCTGTTGAATGGCTGAACAGGAACAAAAGGTCAAATGACCACTCTTCCTTCATCGTCTGTTACTAACATTTGAAAAGTGGAGATAATGTGTTCCGGATAAATGGAAATTGGTAATGATATTTTACAAAGACGCCGCATTTTTTCTGTAAAACTCCAAACGGTTAAAAGTGGCGTGAAAAGATAGAATCACTAAAGTATTAAAATTTAGTTCAGCTGAGGGAAGGCAAAATGCCTGGACCTTTGAGATTGTATCCAAGAATTCCTACGGAAAATGGAGCAGAGTGTAAGACATAATATCTCATCATTCAGTATTGTATGCGTATGTGCTTGAGGGCTGGAGAGTAGCAAATGTATTACCATTTTTAAAAAGGCATTGAAGATCTCGTCCACACAATTACAGCATTGCTAATTTAAAACTGATCATTGGGATAATTTGGGAATCTCTCATTAACTACAACATTTATACAACTTCAGCTGACCTTATTGCAAATGATTGTGCAAGGCAAAGCTAATAGAACTCTAAGTGAAGGTAATGGAAGTAACAGATAAGATTGGGGGGGGGGGGGGGGGGGGGGCGGAGAAGGCAAATGCAGAGCATGTGGAGTTAATAGATTTTCAAAAAGCCTCTGGAAAAGGATTACAGAAGACTGTTGAGGAAGATTGACAGCATTGAATCAGCAAGTAGAAAGTCGGATGAAAACTTGTTTTGAGGGAATGAAGAAGCATGACTTGAGAGTAGATTGTGTGTCGGAAATATGTGATGTTGAGGTCTGACAGCAACAACTATACACTGTGTGCAATGATTTGGATACAAGGCTAGAGGGAACTGTGTTCAACTTTTCAGGTGTTTTAAAATAGAACACTATGTACATTAACACAGCAAATAATTTTGAAGAGAAAAAGGAAGTTTCGGCAAATATTGATGATGGTGGAATAGGTAAAAATTAGACACCCTGTGACTGATTTTATTTTATCTATTCACCCATCAGACATGACCGAAATTAAGGATAAGCAAAGCGTTATGGTGCAAAACAAACAATAGTTATATTTTTAGGAAAGCGACTGGCTAATGATTTCTACATTATACAGTAATGTACTGATATTTTCAGAATTACTGTTTGACTTGGGTGACTTTGAACTGGATCCATTTTGTTTTAAAAATCAAAACATGCTTCAACTGAGCCAGCCTGTTATTTTCTGTACTCCCAGAATCATGCTCACTGTGACATTTGAATCAGTGACCATCCAAAGGTTCCTTCTCATAGAATTTATAGCAACATAAACAGCAATTGGTTCTTGGAGCTGGAGGATACAGACAACAGGAAACCGATGCAGAGAAAATCCTATGTAGAAATTAAAAGTTATTTCAAGCTGATCCACTCTTCAAAGCGATCTTTGCAGTCAGCACTTCAAAAATGCTGGTTTTGTGGCAAATCCATTAAAACCCTTACAAAGACTTCACTTACATTGCAGTCAGCACTTCAAAAATGCTGGTTTTGTGGCAAATCCATGACAGTAGCTGGCTTAAATGTGGGGACACCACTGTTTTGTGGAAATGGGTTGAGACCAGTATTGATTTTACCATTATCACTGTTCAGGTTTCAAGTGTTGTCACTAAAGGAATAGGAACACTTTACCCAGTAAATCTCAGCAAGGAGTGGTAGAATAACTCGAGTTCTTCAAATGTGGACAGCAAGAGTTGAACACCAATATGTGCAATGAATAAGGGGGAACCAGACGATCCTGAGAACCGCACATTACGTATTGAGATATGACTTCATCACTACCATAATTTTCACATGCACTAACAATTTGCTTTTATATATTGAGCTTAATGTAGTTTAAAAAAAAGGTAATTTTTAGAAGCATGTACAAATATTGACATTGAGACACATGAGGAAATGGGGCAGGCAATCAAAAACGTAGTGAAAGAGGTATGTTTTACAGAGCGTCAAATTAAAAGGGATAATGAGGTGGGAGATTTTTTTGGGAGAGGGGTCAGAATTCCAGAGCTGTGGGCTGACTGAGCTATAGACAGAACCATTGATGGTAAAACAATTGAAATTAGGATGCACAAGAAATCAGAATCGGAGGAGTGCAAATATCTGAGGGATATAGGGCTGGAGGAAGCTATCGAGATAGGGAAGGGTGATATCACAGATAAATTTTAAAACAAAGAGAATTTAATAAATATATAAATTGAAATTATGCTGGATGAGGGGCAATTACGAGTCAGCAAGCATAGCAGTGCTGGGTGAAGGGCTTGGAATGAGATAAGTATCAGACTAGTTTAAGATTACAGAGAATGCAAGATGGGAGTGTAGTCAAGGGTTAGGGTCAGGCAATTGTTGACTCCCTTGGTGACAAAAATAGGGATGAAGGTTTCAGCAGTAGATGAGCTGAGCCAGAGGCAGAGATGGGTGATGTTAGCAAGGTGCATGTAAATGGTCTTGGATAAGGAATAGGGACTCAGCTCAGGGTGACTTAGATATCAAGGTGGTAGCAGTGCAGTTCTATCTAAGACCATGATTAGGAAAGAAGATAGAGTTAGGTGGTGGCAATTCTAATGCATACATTCTAGCATGTAAGGTTTAACATGTGAGTTTTCTAGACTGCACCAACAATGTGAAACAGTACCAACAAAACAATATTGAGGATGCAGCACCTTTAAAACAAATTAAAAACACAGGGAGCAAGTAGTGTCATACTGAATTTGAATTTAATTATTCAATAGTAAATCATACAGATGTATTATTAATGCGTGACCATACGCACAACTATATTGGTACTTCTGGCATGAATGCTTGCACAATAATCTTTGGCAGACCAGGTGCAATGCTTCAGTCTGAGTGTTGGGATGATGGTTGCTCTTGCCAATGTGAAGAAGTGAGGGCAGCACCTATGGTCGTTGTTCATCGTTGCCAGTGTGGTGGTCTGGAGGAGTATATTTTCCTTCCTTTATTAGCTTTTCCTTTTGCATTCTGATATCATGCAGCCTCTTGTTCTGGGAAAAAGACAACATGAAGAAGCAATGTAAGCAATACACTTGGTAGTTTATGGAGATATAATCTATTACAGATGAATGATTTGATTTGATTTATTATTGTCACATGTACTGAGAGAGTGAAAATTATTGCCTTGTGTGCTATCCAGGCAAATCATATCTTACGTAAGTACATCAGGGTGTTAGGAAAGTATCCTTACAACATTGTAACACTGTCGTCATGTACATTAAATAAATGGGTATGACATCAATGAAAACTGGGGAGAAAATCTATACTTGAATCAAGTTAGGGTAACATCCACATTTCAGACTACTTCCACCACTACAATAAGAGAAAACATTGCTTAGTTCATATATGTGACTTTTAAAAAAAGATTTCTAACCCAAGCTTGAGGAACTAAATCTACAACTACAAGAATATTTTATACTCACAACTGCAGCTTATTGAAATCTTTGTGACAAGACAGCACATTATTCCTCCCCCCACCATATCTGGCTACTTACCAATTTCTGATGATGTAAACATTCTCGGAAATCTTCCAATTCCAGTTTACATTCCTTCATGGCTCTGATCTTCCCAATTCCATGTGCACATTCAATCCAGTCCTTCTCAAATACATGGCAACGAGCTGCACGTCCATTAGGTTGTACGCCACTTTGAATCAGCAACCATTTGTCGATATCGATTCCTATTTTTTCCTGAAGATTAATCAACGGCATGGCCGAGGGCCTGGAAGCACAGGGCACTCAGGAATTAACTGATGGAAGTAAACATGGCAAATTCCAAGCAGCAAGCTTGGATCATTTAGAGTGGGAGAAGGATCTGGGTTTTTTTTTAAAATTCATTCCAGACACATGAATGTTGCTGGCTGGACCAACATTGATTACCCAGCCCTAACTGCCTTCAAGAGTTGGTGGGGAGCTACCTCCTTGAACCTCTAGAATCCATTTGTGTAGGACACCCACAATGCTGTTAGGGAAGGAATTCTAGAATTTTAATGCAGTCATTACAATTTTAGTAAAGACAGCGCTACGAGGCTATTGTAAAATCAAAGTGTTAGGAGATACTGTCATGACAATATATAAAGTAAGAATTACTATTATGTCACAGTAAAAGGCCTTGATCTCAACTGGAATATCGGATGGATCCCTCCCAAACCAATGACCAAGAGCAGTGGGGAAGGTGGCAAGAGGAGAAGAACATTGGGGTGGATAATGATTTTTTTGGCAACGAGGAGATAACTGCCAACTTCCCACCTCCAAAGGAATTGGATTCTGGGCATTCAAACCAAAGTTCAATTTTACTGCCCCACTGCCTATTGAGGCACTGCTGGTCCCCTAAGGCCCTCATGCTGCTCGGGCTACAACTCCTCCAGCTCCAGGTGGGATGAGAAAGTGTTTCATTTATTCATTTACGGGATGGTGATTGGGTCAGCATTTATTGCCTATTTCAAGTAGGGACGGGCAGTAAATGTTGCACCAGCCAGCATCACCCACATCCCGTGCGTGAATAATGAAAAAGTTGGTTAACTGGTATGGGCAGACTGTCAGTATTTTTTGGACGTGTGTGCAGCTGGTATCCCTTGATCTAATTTGTGCCTGAACAAGTAACCGGATTTAGGACAGATGCCAAGTTCAGAGCAGTTGACCACTTACAGCAACGTTCCCACAAATATTTCTCAGTTCTCTTTCTCTGCCTCTCCCTGCTGCAGCTAACTCCAGACCTGGGCCTTCAGGGACTGATATCCCGCGAGCAGGTGGACTCTTGCTATGGTGATGCCAGATTCTGAAGCTGCCAACCTCTGAGCGGCTGTCTGCTCAAGATGGGCGCGGCTTCCTGCTGACATTAGGACCCTGGAGCAGGAAGTCCATTGGCAGCCAACGAGCTGCACATCTGCCAGAAGACCTGGTGGGCCCCTTCATGTTAATGGCTGGCAGGTTACTCTCCTGGAATTTCTTCCACTTTCTGACTTAATCTAAAAACGGGGCTGTTATAGTTACTGCTCCCAGACAAAGATCCTTCAGCTGCTGATGATGATAAAGGCCCTGGCCAAGGTTCAGTACAGGGCCACTGGAACAATATTTTGTTGAAAGGTCTTCAGTTATGACTAGGCTTAGAAAACTCTTTTTAAAAACAAACACCTGGATAGATTAAAGTTTTTAAAATAATGAAAGGATTAGACTTGGCTTAGTTGGACATGTGGAACAATCTATATAGATTAAGGAGACCAGAATAAATAAATACACGCACAAGCAGAAGGAATAGGTTAAATTTTAGGAGATAGTTGTTTTCACAGTCACTAACTTACAGAACAAGGTGCAGCATATCACAAATACAGCTGATCTCTAATTGGCTTAGAGCCACGCTCTTGAGCAACTACAGTCCTTGGGGTGTAGGCATCTGCAGTGCTGTTGGGAAATGAGTTCCAGGACTTTGACCCAGATACATTGACGTAAGAGTAACACAACATCAAGTCAGGCAAGAATCTGCAGGATCCCTAGTTTCCCTAGGTTGTGGGTCTGTAAAGGTTTTTTTAGGTCATTGAAGAGCCTTAGTGTGATTCTGCAGTCAATCTTGTAGTTAGCATTCACTGCTATCACTGAGCAGTAAATCTAAGAGTGGCATATCTATGTGATGTGTTATTGGGAAAATGTATCACCTAAGCACTGGCCTTGTTAATTTCCAGGCTTCCTTTTAACAACTGGGATACTGTCGTTCTTCAACTCTTTATCCATAATGCTTATCCATGTTGTAATTTGTTCGTCATTTACACAGCTATTCTGTAAGTTTATTACAATCTTGTTGCGTTTGGTCACATTCTTCCTCTGTATTAACCACTGCTACAATTTGGCATCCTCTGCAAGTTTTGAAATTATATTTCAGAATTCAGAGTCCATATGTTTAAACAGGAAATGGCTGTTTCAGACCCAAATCCCTGCCTATCTTCCACCAGTCTGAAGAAATGTCTTTAACCTTCATACTGTTTTCTCATTAGCTTACCACCTTCGTATACTTGCGCTGCAGACAAACATCTACCACATTGTACCTTAGCAATCCAAGTGTGTGACATCCACTGCATTACACTTAACTATTCTTATTACTGTTACTTTTAGTTTTAAGGATATCAAGATAGGGCAGCACAGTGGTTAACACTGCTGCCTCACAGCTCCGGGACCTGGGTTCGATTCCAGCCCCAGGTGACTGTTTGTGTGGAGCTTGCACATTCTCCCCATGTCTGCATGGGTTTCCTCCCCATGTCTGCATGGGTTTCCTCCCCATGTCTGCATGGGTTTCCTCCC